AACTGGAGTGAAAAGTGGCAGTTAACGTTCAATCCAGCTAAGTCTGGGAACCTAGGATATGTCTATACATATACGGTGACCTTGTTTCAAACACGAACATCGTCACAGATCTCGGTGTAGCATACTCAGATCTTACCTTTACTGAACATGCTAATAAGGTGGCATCTGATTGTATACGTCTAACCGGCTTTGTGCTAAGCAACTTTCACACTCCAGAAGCCAGACTGGCTATATATAAGATATGTATTCGCCCCAAACTTGAATACTGTGCCCACTTATATAGTAGCTTTAAATCAGCAGACTGAAGGAAGGTTGAAAGTATCCAAAGATTCCCGACGAAACGCATATTAGGCTATGATCAGCAAATAGAATACCTTGACAGATGTATTTGACTGGACTTAGAACCCTTATGGTTAAGGAGAGTGAAGTACAACTTATTTCTCTTATTCAAAGTTATAAGAAAGCACTGTGGCAGTAACTCATCCATAACGTGGGCTAATCTTAAATCGCATGGTCTACGCAACCATGACTACCTTCTCAAGGTTAACACCCATAAACTCACCACTAGAGCTAACTTTTTCACCATTAAATATTACAAACTTTGGAACCAGCTACCCTCTGAGATTAGATCCTGTGAAAAGCCTGACAGTTCTAAAAGGAGCCTAGAAAAACATATTAACATGTCCACCCTAGCCCGTCTAAAAGATCACAACTGCTGGTAGAGTGGTGAGACAATGACATTTCAATATTTAACAACGGAAAGCACACTGGTCCCAATACTAATATAATAATACTTAGTAATTATGCTTAATCAATTCTTGACATTTGATTGTCATTACAATACTTAAAATGATTAAAATATTTATGCAGCAAATGTTCTCTTGCTTTACCACGCTTGTTTCCCTTATAACACTCAATCATTGAGCTTAATGTATTCTCTGATAATACGAATTATAGTATTGATTACACTCTTATCATATATAGTTTGATTTACTTTACGGCTCCCTGTAAGAATAACTACGCTTCTTCAGTATTCACACACTGCAGTATTGTTAACCAAATGTTAAAATTCTGTTGGTTCTGTGTTAATATGTTTTCATAATATGTGTAGACAGGTTACTTAGCAATGTCAAATGTTTACTATATAGAAGACTGTCATGATAATTTAGTACATTAAGTCCTGCCAACTGACCTTACCTTCGGTTCATACTACCTACATTGAACTCTAACTATAGTGTTCTGCCAAATCTTGCTCCACTATTCACAAAACCTATTCCTTTTACTCTTTAAGGCTTTAACATCTTATAAACTAATCTGTTCATTAGGACGCATGCACACATATATAATATGTTCACGAATCTGTACGTGGAGATCTATTGGAAGCAATCACTAAGAAAGCCAGGGAAATGGAATGTGAGGTACGAACGTGTCTGAAACTAGCGATATATTTGCTGTAGCCATAACAATCAGAGCCTAAACTCACAAAAGGAGGGAGGGTGGCGCATCCTGATCAGTAGTTATGGTGGTGGACACTAGGGTGAATCGCCCCATTCTGCAGGAACAGCAATATGCAATTTGACGGCTCGAGATTTCTATGAGGGCTTGGATCTTTACCTTGAAAAAGATAATAATGATCGCCTAGACAGATCATGCTTCTACCTTTAAACATATACCATTGGGTCAGCCTATTGCTGAGGTGTGACCACGTGCGCTCTGCACAGATTTATGGGGCATCTTATAAATTAACATGCTTTCCTTTGTCGCATCTTCGAATATCACTTAAAAATGTCTCATCTCATTCATTTTCTAATAACGTCTTCACTTGCTCCTCATTATATTCCATTAAACCTAACATTTTATAGCTTTTTATGAATTTGATTCGACTTATTCTATTCCTATCCCCTATAGGGTACGGTTGTGCACCAAATACACAAAAAGGTATGAAATAAAAACAACCGGCTTGTGGATAATTGTATTAAAACCAAAAGTGGACATCATGATAGTAAGACCTATATGGGTAGCATTATACATTGCAAATGAATTTTGTCAACCTAGGGATTATAGTCCCCCATTGTATTTCCTTTATGAATGCATCTATTAATGATACACTGCATTTACCTATTTCATTACACTTTAATGATTCACTTTAGCACCTTTACTTTTCTAAAGCAGCTTACTATCCCTTGTAAATGTTGTACTTGCCTCAATATTGGTTGGTTATCGTATGTCTATAACTACGGGTTGAAAACGAAAAGAAGTCGATTTTCCTGCGCAACCTGGAGGACTACTGTTTAATTCAATAATGATACTACATGGGTCAGACAATGAGTGCATATATATATCAATTATTTATCTGTTCAAACATTATTAACTTGTAGACAATCTACTATTTGACATTATACCATACTCGATCATGCCTGTAAAAATGATATGCATTTTCATGTAAATTTATGTTTATATGAAAATGTAAGTTACTATTATTATTATTATATACAACCGACGTAAACATTTATATATGCATAAAACATTAATGTTCTTTTCATGTTCACATACTTTCTTTTTCTGGTATTCTGCTGCTGCGCCTACTCTTCTATTCACCTTCTGGTTGAAGTCAAACAACCCTACATTTAAACTGAGATGAAGCTGGACTCCAGACCATTTAAATAAATTCACAGGTCTCCACTCAAGCTACTAGCTCATGACCACTCAAATTCCATGAACAATCCCACGCTACCATTTGAAAACGCTGGCCAACATTCTGTACAAGCAGTATTCTTGATCTGAAATAAAGAAGCAACTGGTTTTCAAACAGTTTTCGATGTATTAACCAACTTACGTGTACTGTCTGTCATGCTGACATAAATGGCGCCAGTGGAGAGTTCTGGAATTGACCTCGGACCCATTTGACGAAGTAAAACAATCTAACATGACCTTATCTAGTTTTCGTATCCACGATCAAATTTCTTTCCTGTTATAAAACTACGATTAGACTGCTGAAAAAATGGAATAAATATATCACTGATCTCAACATCAGTAAGCTTTAGGTCAAGGATGGTGTTCACAACAAAGTTTTATAGGAGAATTAACTTCAAGCTTTATTTTTCTCAGATATTTGTATTACATTCATCTGATGTCCGGGTTTTTTGTTAATGCGAAGAGAATATTTCTACATCTCCTTATGCGTTACACAGACAGACTATTTTGCAGACTGTTCCGACTGACTCTAATGTCAGAAAGAACAACCAAACCTTAAATTCACCATACATCGAAATATGTGTAATTAATATAATAACTTATCCATGCCTGTACAATCGGTATGTTCCTACATAAACAGGAATAAGTGTATAGTATTATTCTATCAGCTGGCCGAAAAACTTACAGCTGGGCACTAGCTGCCAGTAAGTTGCAGAGAAAGGCGATGGCAGATATGTATGCCAAACTTACTCGGTATGCCAAACAGTTGTTGAAGCACATACTTAAGCACATTGCTATACAAACAAAGCATTCGTACTTAGAAGCAATAAAGAACAATGATGCTTGAAGAAACCCACCCAAGAAGATCCGAGGAAATATCTATATTACGTCAAGTACAGCTCTCTGTATCAAATTAAGCAAACCATTACCTATCCGAATCACCCAAACCACTAAAATACCCAGCGAATAAAGGAGGTGATGCCACTTTAAGAGGAATATGCCATGTAGTCAGCTATCGCTGGTAGTGGTAAGGAACCGGCTCAAGCGATAACCATAAGCAGAGTGCTGTGGGTGAGCTTCAACGGGACAGTCCATTTGGATGCGGTCCTTATGTTACTTTATGGTAATCTGACATCCGCTTCGGGATTTCTGCCGGAGTTACAGCTACCACAGCTTCTGGTAAAGCATTTCATGGGCCCACTCCAGTCCTGGCCCTGTGACGTGCGATCCTTCAGTGGTTGCTACGAGGAAGCCTGTAATAGCTTGATAGCACAATACCTTTACTTGGATGATTCTGGTCACTGATGATCTCGTAAGAAGCAATTAGATAGCAGATATTTAGAGAATCTAATTTCCTCAACATCTCATCGCATGGCTGATTCCAAAGATCTTTGTCTTTCTTGTCTATCTTTTTCTCATCCGTCTTTCGAATCTTACCAGAAGATTTGTGTCCGTTTTAAGTGATGAGGGAATAGTGTAGTTAGGTACTTCAAAGTAAGGTTGCATACACGTTCTGTATAGGCCTAGAAGAGGCTAAAGAGAGAGCCTAAACACCTGTGTGTGGAGGATATAATCGCATATGAAATCTCCGTATAACCCGGGTTATTTATGCTTGTATCCAGTTTTTCTATCAAGATGAGACCAAAGTCGCTCTGTGACGTTGTGTAAAACAAATTATTCTCATACAGGAAATAACTTAATCCCTACGTCGTTTGGACATGTAGCTGCACCGTCTTGCACTTTTTGGATGGAAAAAGTACCACAGGCCTGTGAAAAGACTTCTGGAGCCATGAGGTCTGCCTACAACTTCTCTGAGTCTTCTTGACATTTTACTGCCTAACAAATCTGTGCATCATCAGCGTGAAGAGACAGCCATTTTGGAAGACAAGGCATATCACCATTAAAATCAAAAAAATTTGGGATCCAGGAAAGGTCCGTCTGCGACTCCCATTGCCACACTCTTCTAGGATGACCTTATATGATTGACTTCAGTATAGAATTCACTTCCGTCTAAATAGTCCTTCGACCATGAAAGAAGCGGGCTGCCAATGCCCCCCATAATGAGGAAGATAGTGATGAATGGTATTAAATGCCTTTGAAAAACTCAGGAAGATCACATGGACTGGAGGATTCATGTTTAGTCATTCCCTGCTGATATAGTAAATTGAAATCTGTGAAAGAGCCATAATTACCTCAACACAGCAAAAAACGAACGTTAGAAAATCGTAAGATTCATACAATGAAGTGCACAGTGCATATTTTACTTTTTCACAGTTTTATTTTGTTTGGTCGTATCATTTAAGAATGTAAGTATAAACATTAAATTTGCAGTTATTTAGTTTGTTATGATTGTTCTATTACTTGTCATTTGTCTTCAGAAATATGTCTATGCACAGTCTTGCCAAGAGGTAAATGTATTAGTTATATGTTGATTTCATGTAGGATGACTTGGTGTTAAAAAGTACTGAATGCGATATCTCAGGAAACAGGTGGCTTTTCAAAATTCCTAAAATCGATGGAAAATGTGACCTCAATGAGAAAAGTATACCAAAGAAAGTTAATAACTGTTGTAAGTTATATCTCATACTTCTTCACTGAATTCAGATAAAACTTGCCCCACTGGAATGCATCTTGACCTTTTATCACAAGACTGTGAAGTTTGCCCACCTGGGACATATTCAAAAGGTGATACATTTGAGGTGACAAAGTGGGACACTATGCCAGAAGTTCTTTCTTTTGATGTTACGTACGGCAATAACTATAATTCAAAATGCAATCTGTAAGTTCTCACTATGCGTATAGTGATGTACATCCACACTGTTAATCTATATAGTTGTATACATGTTTATTTGTCCAAATATGTTGATCTCACTTCAGCGTTCCTTCATAAGAACCCCTATTATGAAATACTTCTAGAATGTTAGTGCCTACTTAGTATGTCTTTTTAGTTTTCACCTAAAGTATAGACAACCGTTTTTTATGCCAGGTACTTAACAGTTGTCCAGGATGTATTTAAAAAGAAATCCTACTTCTATTTTCTTGATTCGCCACTCAGCATTTTTAGTGCCTAGCTTAGAATACAGGTTTGTTGACTGAAGGTAGAAGGCTTGAAGCCCATGTTAATCCTTTTCTAGTAAATTTTTATGCTTGTTCAAACTCCTTTGGAATGGGTCAGTTGAGAATTGTGACAATACTTCTTCTGGGAGTCAGTTCCAAGAGTTGATAAATCCGCGTGAGAACAAATACTTCACAGCAATATATAATGAATACAGGCCTGGTTAGGTCTCATAACACATTATGCCTGTATGTTCATTTAAATAAAACTGACTAACTTGATTCTTAGGGCTAGACAGTTAGCTATAAGGCTTTAGGAAATATGTGCAACCCTACATATTGAGTAAGGTAGAAAGCCACTGGACTTTCCATTTTGTAATCTGTGACAAATGAACGAACAGTTAAAAGAATATAGTGTATATCTTACTCACTTCAAACCTTCGATAAAGTATCCTTATTCATCGCGGCGTCACCAATCACTTCTAGATGTAGACAACACTGCGTAAAAGTCAATATTCAGTCAACTAATAATCAGTCTCACTCAGAAACAAATGTATTTTTGAGCCTTAATACAAGCAACTGTAAATAGCTGCTAAGGATTATAACTTATTCCGTGAGTTAAGTAGGAAGAGTTTTTAGGTTAAATTCAGTACTAAAATTATGTCTGATACAGCTTAGAAATATTTCGTTTTAAATTTCAAATTGTGGTCGCATAGGTGGAAGCTTTTTGAATCTGACATTCTCTTAGAGTTATTATTCACACAAAACTTTTGAAACCTTTGCAACTCATCAGATTACTTACAATGTCGCTTTTGTTCAATGATGTTAGTGTTTAATTTTAATGTGAAGTGCTTTTACTGAATCTAGCAATAACGTTTTCGAATAAATTAAGGTTGTGGAGTCACTAGGAGTTTTTGGGAGCTCTAAAGCATTTTATTGAATAGTAAATTAAATTTGTGCAGCTTGGAAGTTCTAAGTAATAAATAAAAATACCTACCTTACAATAGATTAGAATTGGCATATTTAAATTGAATCAGTTTCGCTTTTCACTTGATACATTTCACGTGGCATTTTAAAATACATGAAATGACAGTTAGTACTACAGTCGAGACGAATATCCACCAAAAGCAAAGCAGTTTCCGCAAAATCCCTGTGGTTTTGAAACGAAATATGTCTGTGCTGCTCTTCGTAAGGTAAGCTGTAAGGTGAATGATAAATTATATGACCTCATTTTCTAGAGTCTTGTTTAAAGATTAGGTGTGAAACTAGAATTTTCTGAATCGTAAGAAGTGATCATAAATGATTTAAAAACTTTATTTTGTCATTACTGTATCGTTTGAGATTATTGTCTCTTACGTAAAACATTTAATATTTGTACACCGGTGGCACAGCAGTTAGGACGCTATCCAACCATGCACATGGTGCGGAGTTCTATACCCGGCCTGATATCAATGGTCGGCCTACTAAATTTGGGCTACCGATATCACTTGCTGAAAATTTCATAGTTGTACCAAAATACTGTGTGGAATCAAGCTATAGTAAGAAATACTTTTGTGTGCTGGAATTCATTCGCGTGAATCAGGAAAGGAGCAAACACATTATATCAGATTTTCTCTTATGATGTGCAAATCAGGCATCTGACTCTAACATAGATTAAGCGTCACGTTACTGGATTTTCATTGGTGTATGCTATCCTGTGAGACCATAATGTCTTATATCTTATACCAGCAGCTACGGAATTACTCGTATTATCTAGTGAGATTGCCTTTTTTATGGAGCAATAAATCTTTGCCTTCTCAACTAGTCTTCCATATCTTTCACAGTACATGAATAGTATTGACAGATCAATCGTATATTGTTGTGCTTTGGGGCGACAGTAGAACGAAGCTTAATCCTCTATTATCACACTTAATATGAATACATTTAACCAAAGATAGTGTGAGTAGAATAAAGAAAGTTATTCTTTACAATAAAATTAATGGTATAAAGATGGAATTAGTAGGGAAGGTTTTTCCCTGGCCAGAGGTCATATCACTGTCGAATATCTATTAGATCTGAATAAGTTCTTATGCAGGAAGGATATTCTGGTTGTTTTGTCGTTGACAAACAACTACGTTGTACTTTAAAACATCAGAAACTGCATATTTGGTGATTATTAATTCTAAGTCATCAAATGTCTTAGTCAACTGAGTACATGATAGCTACACAATATTAATACCATTCACGATAAGCAACTTAATTTACTGAGTAAATCATTCACTCTTGTTAGTTTTGGTTCTGTTTGCTTTATTCTTCTCTGCAAAATTTCTGAAGACTAGATAGTTACGTTTTTTTATTTGTTAAAGTTTTCATTTTGATCAGGTTTGAATGACTAATTGGTCTTGTTGGTTTCATGGGATACATGAAACTCATTTACTTTCGAATTACAAATTTGGAAAACAGTCATACATTAATTATTATTTTTTCAATACAAAGATAATACACCCAATGCTTTTGCCCCCTTATTTAAATGTGACACTGAGAACACCTGGCCAACTCGGATCCCATGACTTCCATTGAATATCCTGATGTAATCTGTGTAACCTATTATTGTTATGATTAAGACCGTTTTGTATAAATTAATGTATACTGTCACCTTTTAAGCATTTTTAAAAAAGCAAACAATTTTTCTTGAAAAATTCGTTTGTCTACTGTGAATTCAAAAGCCTCAAGTTATCCATTTCTGTGGAACGATCCAACTGTTTATAAGGAGAAAATAAAAATTCATACAGTGATAGATATGTTGAAATGCTTAAGAGTTCTTTTCCAATTTCGAGCAAGACTTACCAGAGTCTTCCCCCTGAAATGAAGATGCTTATCTGCACAAATAAGTGTTTTAATCTGCCCAAAGCTAAAGTATACCTGAGGTATGTCTTTTCAAGTTTATCAAGATGAATTCGAGGATAACTGCATGTAACTTTCCTAGATTCTGTTCCCTTAATCTTTGCAGAGATTAATAAGTGACTGAGATTTGGTAGTGGAAATTTGCCGTGATTTCTATCAGATACCCAAGACATTTCACTCTGCAAGAAATGATCTAACTCAAATAGTTGTGTACTATAAGACACTAAAAATTCTGTCGTCCACCTGGGATAACTGGTGATGAATATCCCTAAACAGAATACTTTTAGAACAAATTTACCCCTAGTTAAAAATAAGCTAATCAGACACTCCTTCCAAGTAATAACATTGACTCCGTTGGAATCTTACAACATAATATTTTTGATATCAGATGGCTCTACTTAAAAGCAGTGATTCAGGATAGTGATTCGAACTGTTAGAATTTATTAAATAAATTGTAACCTCACATATTAAAAAAATGCCTACTACTATTGTTTAAAATTTTTCTGTAAACTTTTAATCTCTGTTAGAACCGGTTGGTCACCTCAGGGTAAATATTTATTAGGCAAGACTACGGCCAATTGCGCAGTTACACTTTCAATGAAAGTTTACAACCTTAAACCTGGAACCATAACATTCACATATCAAATTGAAGAATACGGTGCAATGGCTTTCTTTACCGTAAGTTTTACAGGTGTGCATAATTTTCATGTTAAGTATGTAAATATGTAAATGTGATAAAGAATATCTACAGACTGACTGTTATGAAAATGGCGAAAATTCACATGATACCTAATTTCAACTCCAAAGAGAGATAGGGATGCCGACAATAAATTACTTTGTTGTTGTTATTAGATGGTTGGAGACGATAGGTAGGAAGCCCTGGACCTAGGTTTCGTCAGTAAGGCGTATCATGTCACTTCTGAGGTTTGAACCCGTGTCAATCAGTGCTACAGTCAGAGACGTTACCACTGAGCTATGTCTAGATGCCTCATATGAGAAGAAGAGGCAGGATAAGGAACCAGTCACTGCGAACACCTGGAAGTCGAGAAAAGAGTGAGGGGTAGTGAAGCAGAAGGCAAAGCATTGCAGAGATGAACGGCAAAGGGAGAAGCTAAATAAAATCTACAACGGTCTGAACAAATTAGTGAACTGTTAGGAATAACGAAAGAAGCATTTACAACACACTAACAACTGAAGCAGAATAGATTGTAGGTAAGATAGAACTTGGCACACTATATCAAATAACCAGTTCCCTATCCAACAGCGGATGAATACAGATCAAGCTAGTGGAAGATACTGAAATAAACTCAATTCCGAAAGGGGTGGGACAGAGGAAACTCAAAACGGATCGCTCCGAAGGAATTTTTGAATTGACTGCCACCTGCAACTCGTCCTGAAATACCAGCAACAGACACAGAGCTACCAGTGAATAGCAACCTTCCAACAAAACGGAAGTCTTGTAAGCCATAAAGTCACCGGAATCCGGGAAGGTAGGGGAACCAGTCGAAAACCCCTGGAAAATATTGAAAATGGACCTTGAAATCTCAGAAGATATGCTTATGTTTATACTGCAATGACGAGATTGTGGTGGACTGGATCTTGCGGCATATCGTGGGGAGTGAGAAGATGAGCATAAATTAGATCGACAAAGAGACCCTGGAAGACCTTGAATTTGCAGATGATTTATGTCTCATGATAGAAGTTAGTAGAAAAGGCAGCGAAGATACAACTTCAGCTAAACATACACAAGACCAAGGTGATGAAGAAGCCCAACGAATAACAACAAACACCACTCATTATCAATAAAACATCCAAATGAAGTTGTCTCTTTCACTTGCTTCCCGAATAGCATCGCACGGCAACGCGATGCACGGATAAGGATGTCAAAGCCAGATAGAATCGGTAGGGAAAACAAGAAAGACGTTCATTACTGTGAAAGCAGTATGGAGATATACATCGCTCATTCAGCATAAAGAACAAGATTAGAGTTCTACTTCAGACTAGTGTAAAGGGAGTTTTTTAGTATGGTTCAGGATCTTGACGTGATCGTCACGGAAATTTTTTTAAAAGGGATTCTTCAGACTCTCACCAGTACGTGTCTCCAGTCTGTGTTGAGGATTAGATGGCCGATCGGAAACAATGAGTAAGCAGAAAGGAACTATGGCAGGTATATTACCCAATAAATATGCAAGAAGAAATGAAGATGGATTGGGCATATGCCGTGGGGAGCGCTGAGTGGTATCACGCGAAGGAACTCAAGGCGAATACGAGTGGGAGGCGATGAGTTAGGCGTCCGCGTATGAACGTGTGTAGAGAAAATGAAAGCTTATGAACAGTTGTGGAGCTAGATAGAAGCGGTGGGATGGAATGGAGTGCCACTGAGGATCTATGTTCTACTAGGAAGGCAGGGAATGAGTAATATAATTATAATAATGATAATAACCCTAATCTAGTGAGTTATTATGGAATATAATTGTGCTTATCAGGCTGGGAGTTTAATAGGTAAAGAATTACTGGAAACTTCAAGATATGCTGCCAAACACTTATCTTTTCACTGCTTTAACTGTTTTATTCTTTCAACTATTTTATTGTTATGCGAAGAACTGCAAATAATTCACTTTCTGTAATATCTGAATTATTATTTGGTCACTATGTAAACCCGTAGCTCATATTATATGATAAAGCTTTATTTGATACTTTATTTTATCTGATTGTCAGAATGTAGCGTAAATCGATTCACATCTGTGAAGTATTTATAAACAGTATTTCTGGAAAGATGATGACTAATAAAGCGCTAAATGGATTGGTATTATGATTATTTATGCAATATTATTAACATTACTTCGCTTTTATTTTCTAAGATAATGTAGTTGAAAATAAAGGATAATGCATCTGTGTTAATTCGAATGGGTGAGGATTGAAAGTGAAATGAAAGTCTAGGTTGTAACGAGAGGATTCGAACCAGCGGCCTCAATAGTTACTAGCCCAGTACTGTACCGAGCTAATAAAATGAACACCTAATCAGATCGTCATTTCACTGTTTCATTATTCATTCCATCAAATAACAGTCTGCCATCATAAAGCCATCTCACATACTGCCACTATTGATTGATTTTATTCATTTAGAAGAAAATCAATTAAATTTGTCATAATTTTATACGAGAAATTAAAACGAAAACATTACCTAGAAATCAACTTATAAATTAATGTAAATTTGAAAGTAAGCTCAATAAAAGCTGAAAATCATGAGCTTGTTGCTTAATGTTAGAAAGTTGTATATTTATTGATTTAAATCCTGTTTATAGTGTATGTGGTGTTATGCGATTGGAAGATCGGAAATATAACTCTAAGTTATTGAAAAAAAACACCTTCATTGTACCTTTTTATTTATATAATGTCAAAGTATCAATACCAGAGTGTAAAAGGGAATGCGCAAAGTTAACCACATGTAGTCAGACGAATTAAATGAAAAATAATTCATATTCAGAGGCGTATAGTTATCATACAACGAATACAACATTCGAAATCCAATTTTCTAACACTGTATGGTCATTAAATTAGAAATAATGAGATTAAATATAAATTACTGAACAGCAAATATGTGTACACTGGCAGTATATGGAAATTTAGAGTCACCTGCAAGTACGAGTCATTCAAGTTAACTGACAAAACCAAATGCCAAGTATGGAATCTTCATCTATAATCAAGCTTATAAGATTGAGCTCAGTTAGAGTTATCATTTACAAAAGTCTGTCTAGGGTCAGGTTGCTTTCTTTCCTTTAGATTTTCAAAGAAAATCGCCAGAGGAATTAATATTTTTCAAAATGAGTGAATTTAAATAGAGGTATCAAGAGTTAGAACTACTTAACACCATAGTTAAAATGACAGTTTCTTAGTGTAAAAGAAACGGTGGTTACTTCCCTGTTTAGCTATAAAATCTCAGTCGATTTATATGAAACTGAGGTATATAGTTCAGATTAGTTTATTAATGTTCAATGAATTGATAGAATTAAACGACACAGAAATAAAATTTAATGGAAATCGCAGAATAACCACGCCTGACGCTTATTCAAACAAGTAATCAAGTGCGAAATGAAGTGATAGAAAACAATTACTTCTGAATCTACTTCAATATCACAGCATTAAGTGTCGTTTTGTGGTGAGAGCTGTCTACTAGCCAAATTGGTAGACAGTAATTGAAGTCAATGTTTACGTTCTCAAGATTGGTCGTGAGAAAATATGAACAAGACTGATTCAGAACCGACCACAGCAGACTTTACGTAGGCGGATACAGTTAACATATAGATGATCTGACATTCAAGAAACAGTCACAAAGAGATGAAAGATTAACTTTAAGTGAGAAACAACCAATCAGAAGATCGTGTTTGTTTGCTTAACTAATCTATAATAATGTACATGAAAATATATAAATATGCTTTGATTTCCTTAATAAACGATCTGTTGCCTGGCCTTGTTTTCTGTTGTTACAGTTTTATTTGATGAACACTTCATCAACCTGAACCTTTTTTTGAACATGGTCTGTAATTCATCACAGTTACAAGCATTTGTTAGCATATCACCTTTAGAAGTTGATAACTTGACATATCAATATAAAGGATGACAAGATTACTGAGTTTACATTTCGTTTCTTTTTTCGCAGATGAGAAATGAAAGATGTTCACAGTTACCGGGAGGCAGTTATCTCTTACGACTTACAGGTCCATATGCCTATGAAACACTAACATTCAGTGTACCTGTTGGACATAATATTCTACAATGGTATTTGTTTGTTGAGAATGTTTACGTACAACAGTTATATGGGCTGAAAGATCCTGAAATACATATCAAAGAAATTCGTTTGACAGGAACACCACCTGTGACAACATGCATCCCTTGTGCACCGGGAAGTTTTGGAGCGCATGCGAAATCTGGTCATTGTGAGTTATGTCCAAGAGATACATATTCTGATGAAGGTGCCATTTCGTGTACACCTTGTCCAGATCATGAATTTTCAGGTAATGTGCTACTTATTCAATAAATACAAGATTGCATCCTAATTATGATTTGGAATTCTTTCAAGCACAATTCTTATTTTTGTCTAGATAGAAGAATAGGTGGAAAGCGTTATAACATTGAGTTTTTATGAATAATTGGTACATTTCAGAACTTTTTTTAAAGACAGACGTCGGCTAAAAAATTACTGATGGATATCTTGTTCACCCTGAAACATGCAATGGATAAGAATTCGGTAGCCTGTGTTTATTCAGCTGCCCTCAACGAGGGTCGAATTCCCAACTCTAAATGTGTAGTTTGCAAATGATGAATATGACTCTGTATATTACCAGTTCGTTTGAATAACTAGACTGGATTGGGATGGTTTGCTCAGATTCAACTGTCTGGGCTGAATCAAACCTGGCACAATAATGATTTGTTTAGCCGTGAAAGAGCCAAAGAGTAATCAGGCATTTAGACCACTTCAGTCTGGCTGGCAAGTGCTGCTGCTTGAACTGAGTGGTTTGTACTACTTAGACAATGCAATCATGCTAGTAAGGTGTTTCCGCTAAGTAACTAGAATTTTCACTCAGGAGAGGAAGGTTAAGGAAAGAAGTACATACTGGCTTACTTTTTAGTGGACAGGTCTTCTGTGCAAAACAAAACCTCATACCCATCCCTTCAGCAGGCTTAGTGTGATCAGCATCGAGCAGTTATTTCCCGGGCTTGTCAAAAACCCGAATCCTTCTTTTCTCTTTCCAGTACTTCGTACTTTACATTCTATGCAAGTAGAATATAGTAAAGGCTTCTATAAACAGCGCTGTTTATTGATACAAGCGTAGAATTTAGTCACTGGTGGAATATAATTCCATATGCGGATTTTAATTGATGTGAAACACAGTGATACTGTATTATTTATTTACAGCTGACGTTACTACCACAATTCATTGATTATAATCATATCAACGCAATAGTACGACAGTTATGAGTAAACAAGTAATGTCGTATCACTGTGCGTTTCATATATATATATATATATATATATATATATATATATATAATGTGAATAATTCGGTTCGTCACACAATTTCCATATTTTTCCTTTCCTTCCACTACTGATAGTATTACCACGAAAGTTTCTTAATTTTTTCTCAAACTTATGAATATTTTCGGTGACCTAAACCAAAGAAACAAAGTTCATAGCCTTCTGAAACCACTCTACCAACCTCATACTGGAACTTTGAGAGTTCGAAGCCTATCTCAAATTGAACAAGAGGCCTTCCTTGTCAAACCTAGGCATCTCAGGCTTGATTTTATGTTGTGCCTCTGAGACATGTATACAAAACGCAAAAGTACTTATTCACTTGACTCCACCACAAAGTTTTCTGTTATCTAACTTCAAACCGAAGAGAATGTAGACATTGGTACTTAGTTTTTAATTGAAGCTGTGAAGCCTTCCTGTAATAAGGACGAGGCGAAGCAACTGTACCTGTTGTTTTGATTCTAGGGGTGTTTAGGGATGATGATGATGATGAATTGTTGGCTAAATTGACTAAGATTCTGTCCACTGAATTGGAATCGGAGGCAGTCCCATCAGAATAAGATGAAAACAAACATTCCTTTAATGATCATGGGGAAATTAGCCTGAGTTATTTAATATCTAATATTCAAGAGTCTACAATTCTGCGATAAAAAAACTCAATAAGACTATCAACCAAATTCATCGTTTATGGATTTTTAGAACAAAGGCATACATAATTTATGCTCGAAACGTCATGCAGTTGTTAATACTGCCTCATTGTGTGATATTTAAGATTAAATTATGTATTTTTGGTTTTGTTTTCTTTCACAATTCCCATATTCTACGCTTATATTTTAAATAGGTTTTTCTTCTACGCATTGTTTTTAATAGGACAGTTCAACTTTGAAATGTAAATCTGATACAGTCGGTTCCGTCGGAGTACGGAATTACAATGTGTCAAAAGGTAGTCATGGTTTCGAGAAATACACAGTTACTGGTTAAGAAAGGGAATAAAATCATTATTAGCAAATAAGTTGCTAAAGGTCATCCACTCGTAACGTCAGATTAAATGATTTTAGAATTAGGGGCTGATTTTGCATAAATCCTAGACATCTGGGTGCTGATAGAGATTGTTTGCTTGTGCAGTTTCATTGGTGTTAATGTGTTCTTCCAAAATATTTCTTTTGAGACTACTGAGGAGGAAGAATTCACATAATTAGTAATTGTTGAATTTTCTTCCGCAGAAAAAAAGACAACAAAGGGGAAATTGTGACTGTCCAGTGCACCATGAATTATTACTAGAGTTTTCAAAAAAATGTTGGTAGGTTCGACCGATTGCAGCGTGGTTTTGAAGCACCAATTTCTAGTGGTTTCGTTCTCATTGAGTTATCGAATAGAACTATTCTTTATAAATTAACAGAAGAGTCAGCGAAGACATGAACTCAGGTGAACATACAAAAGATAAAGGTAATGACGACATGGAAAATATCATGTAAGGAGGAAATGAAGGCCCATGTGAAGTCGTAGATCCAGAAAAAAGAGACAACGGAAAGCTGATTGCGGTGGTTATTTACTGCTGAAGGCCTCTGTCTCACTCTGGAACCAGGGAGCGAATAATAATCCTTTAAAGTTACCGAAAGAGGGAGACAGCTTCCAATACTGCCATAGAATAACACTCGTAGACTAATCAAAGTTGAGTGGCTAAATAAAGAAGCCAAATAGTCAAGTCTTCCGGCATATTTATGTATATATATTAAACACATCCTCAGATATATTATATTGAATTGTCTTGACAGTACAAGAAAGTTTTCTTTTAAAATAGGCACTGGATCTTCGGCATGCAGTCCACGTCCCGTATGTGTGAAAGACGACTATACAAGCTACTGGACCTCATGTGACAAAAACCAGATGGTAAGATATACTATTTAGATAAATTACTGTTTTTACGGCAATATTTTTAGATTTTCCTTTAAATTATAGTACTTTATGGTTGTCAGATAGAGCTTTTAGAAACGTACAACATAATTCCGTCAGTATTTCTCTTATTTTGATGCATTCAGTTAAACAACCATCTATATATTTTCATTCATTATCAAAGACAATGGCTGCATAATAAGATTTGAGATAAATTATACCTTTGCACTGATAGACTGTGATGATCCAAAGTCTAAATATTTATTTTAATGTATTTTCTTCCTGATTATAGGTATATTTAAATATCCATTTTCTTTTCTTTCAAATAGGCAGTCTAGGAAAGGTAATTCACCGAAGTCTGATTCTGTTTACACGAAGCTAACTGAACGCTGGAAGATTAGTTGTTGACTTCCTTCAAGAATGAATTGTGTAGGTCTCGTTTTATTGAGACGAAAGTATCATCGACATATCTTAGCCATATTTTAGGTGTTATTATGTTTGATATGTTATCTTTAAATGGATTAATGAGAAAACACCCAGCGACTGTTGGGGAAACTGGTGAGCCCATGACTATACCATTTGTTTGTCTATAAAAATCCCCTTTCATTATAAAAAAGTTAGTTTCCAGGCATAACTTCAAAGTTTTAATCTTTCCACTGGCGTCCAGTTGACATCTTTCTGATACAGTTGTGTCTAATTCTGCAGACGTAAACCTAAACAGTTGTCACTGCAGAAAGATCAGAAGTATCAGACGATATCAGAATAATAGTCAATAAACACAAAATCAGAGTTTTCTTCGAAACATCAGAAATACTAAAAAGCAACCTTGTTCACGTGAAAGGGAGAATTCAAAAGGACTCAAAAACTGTGGCTGTGAAATAAAATGCTTAGAATGTGATGCGATATACATCGGATGAACCTCATAGGAAATCAAGATCAGAAGAAATGAACTCCGAGAAATCTATTCAAGCTAAGATTTTGTGAACTGTAGTTTAATAATGCTTTAATGAAGTTATTAGCATTAAATAACAAGACGTCAGTAAAAACAATACAGTTTTGTATTTCATTCATCGGGAAACAAAAACTTTTACAGCAAATTATCAGTTATTTAAAAATGAGATCCTTTGTTTCGCGAAATTTCGTTACACTTACTTTACAGAAAATAAATGAAGACAAAGAATGAGAGGGCACTCATCCTTTTTTTAGTTTAGTTTCTTTGGAATCCAAAATCAGTTAGAGAATGACTGAAAATCAAGGCGAAAATGGATGATTGCGTAATTTTACTGTGTAACCGTCTAGTTGTGTTAATCGGTCCCACAACTGAATTATCATTCAAAGAATGTCTCCACATCTGATATTACAAGACTTCTGAATTCCTTGCATTTGTAGCGTGCTTCCACCACTTTTAGATAGTATAATGTTAGCACAGGAGGAGACATATTGTGACTCGTAAACTTGACATTTAACCCTAATGTAGAATACAGGTCACGTCAGGGGATTCTGATTGGTGCATGCTACCAGTCAACAGTTTGGATGACAATGTTTTCGTTTATTTTACCACAGGATGTTAGTTTTACAACATGAGTTATCAATGTGTGTTACTTATTAATAACTGTATGACATCCTATTCATCAACTTTAATCCCCACCACGTGCTCAGACACTGGAAAAGGTAGAAAAATGACTTATGAAGAACTCTTGAAGTCTTATATTATTTTTAAATTGATGTTTTACCACTTCACAGTTAGATATTCACTGCTGAATCCTTCTATAGTGCCGTGTAAATTAATCACTATAATATATCTGAAAACTTCTGTCCGTGTATTTCCCAAAATACTTCATGAAACAAGTGTAAAGCCCTAAAATTCAACAGACAATTGTCTGAAACAAGTGCATTCAGATACTACTCACTGTCTGTTATATCTTTCGAGAGGTCTTCAAAAAGTAATCTAGAGTGAATATAAGTAACATCTAGTTAAAACACTTTCTTTCCTTTGATGTAATACAAATAGTCTTTGTGAAGAAGTTACGTGTTTTCACAAATTACTTCAAGTTTGACCAGTTGTTTACTCAAATTCAAATCAATTATAAGCATGTTAAGGTACCAGTCGAATCGCTTAAGATATTCTTATTTATTTAATACCGTCCACCTAGTTTTGACTGTTTTCCTTATGTAGCTTTATATTATATTCCAATACTCCATTAGTAATTAGTGTTTAAATTCATCAAGAGGAATAAATGCATGGAGTAATTAGTGTTTCAATTGATAATGACGTATTTTGCTAAGCCAGGGGAAGTGTTAGAAACTGGCTGACAGCACTTGCAAAAATGATGGTTTAAAATAAAATTTTCACCAGTTTGTCTTTCAATAAATATTCATTCGTAGTACCATTGTTTCTTTTCGAGTCAAATTTTACACACTGAAAATTTAGTTTACGGCCATTTATTTTGAAATACTCTTTCTGAAATATCACTCAGAGGATAAAGTCATCCATCCATTGAGGAAGTTATTTTAGGAAATTATTTATGCCTTACGTCTACTGTCTTCAAATTCCAGGACAAAATACATAGATAAACAGAAAGGGTGGTAACAGAATCGTCAATATCACTAAGTCTATGAAATTTTGCCAATGTCTTTTCAGACTCAACGTAGATGGAAATGGATCGAACCAAAAATATGTGATGAAATCCGTGGTGTTAAACTTCCTGAACCAGATAATCCTACACAATGCCATAAATGTCCAGTTGGTACATTCCCTTTAAAAGATGACATCTGTGAATTATGCTCATCTGATAAAACAGAGGAAAGTTCAAATTCAGAAAGTTGTGTTAAATGCCCAAGTGACCAAGTTCCAATATATGGGTTTCGTTTTGATAACTGGTGTCGTATGCCATCCGTATTGAAGACCAACTGTCGCAATTTCTTTGGTAAGCTTAATAAATTTAGTTCATACAGGGAAATTTAAGTTATTGAAAAGCATCAGTCATTGAATAGGTTTTCTTGCCAAAATACCATGTACATATACATCATTATTCCTTTAAGAGAAGTAATATAAACTAATATGGGATTTCGTTATCCAGTTAGTCTTCATTTGAATCTTACTCTTTTTCGTTCCGTTAGGCAGCTTCAAAGTGCAAACAAATTAACATTTATGGTATTAATCTGTCGGTAGCCCATTTAAACCACTGGCTTACCGAGATTTCCAACCACAATTATGCTTAAACTTTTCCGTTTTTCTGATTGTTTCAACCACATAATTAAATCCATTGATCAGTACATCAACTCGCACATATCTTTAAACAACTTTCAACAGTTTATTTTATCATTTTAATGGATCTTTTTTAGCATTATAGCATATAATTAGAACGTTAATTAGCAGAACACTTAAACTTCTTGTTTGATAATGTAATGCAAGATATTGCAGTTTATTCGTGAAATTTGGTTTTTATTTTGGTTATTCCCATTCCATACATAACAACATAAATTTCCTTGCTGAATACTTTGATTCACTTCATTACTAGAAGAACAATAATGTGATTCCTATGAAGAATGATATTATTATTACTGTTCGCTTGGGTTGCGGGTAGAAAATAAGGCTTTAACAGCGTGTTCACCATTTGTTCTATTCTATACTATCCTCATTATCTGGTCCCATATTGCCTATAGTCACTAATCTCCTCACACAATCTCCTCCATGTCACCCACAGACTCAGGCCTAACTCGTCGTTTCCCATTCAACTTCCACTCGAGTGATGGCCTGCACTGTATCGAATGTAATTCGATGGTCTCCTTAGTGTGTGCCCAATCCATCTCCATTTTCTTCGGCGTAATTGTCAAACAATTATTCCTTGGATAGTTCATTCCTAGAGGTTATTTTGACTGAGTCTTTCTGATCAGCCATCTGATCTTCACCACAGAGTCAGCGAGGACAGTCATTAACAAAAGTCTGCGGTCATCTGTGAGAAATACTTTTCATGACGTGCCAACCTTCCAACCAACAAAGAAGAACTGACTGACTTAACTCTGGTGCTGAAAATCCGAATCTTGCTCTTCAGGCTGAGTGCAGAAGATTGCAAAATTGATTTTAGAGTGACGAATGTCTGCCTTGCCTTTCAGATTCTGGCTAGCGTTGACATCTTCATCCATGTTATCGCCTGTGGTTGAAAGAATGCTTCCTAGATAAGTGAAGGAAGTGACCTCTTTCAAATCTCTCCCGTTGTTGGTGATTGGTGCTGGTTGTTGTTGCTGTTGCTGTTTCTGTAGGTTGGTTATCTTCATCACCTCCGTCTTCCCTATGTTCATCTGCAGTCCTGTCTTCTCTGCTTCCTCTGCTAGTTTGATGGTTGTCGTCTGTATGTCTCCGAATTTATGTGGCATCAGACATAAATCATTCACACGTGAAATCCAGACCTTCTAGAATCTTCTTGCCGGTCATTCCAGCGTGTTCCTAACTTCTCACTCCTAACACACAGTCTAACGCATAGTCCGGTCCACTACAATTAGGAATATCATAGGTGACAATAGGCAGCCTCGTCTTACTCCTGAATTCAATTTGAACGCTTCGATGACTTGTCCTTTGTGGATCACCCGACTCGTGGCATTGTTATATAGCCAGCCGCTGAATGAAGTTGATCAAGGTTTGGGCACTGCACGCCATAGTGTTGACGCAGTTTCCAAATCACTTCTGGGTCAACACTGTCTGTCGAAAGCCTTCACGAAGTGGATAAAGTCGAGGTGCGGAGTGGTTTGACTATCATTCTATGCTCCGTTCTATGGTGAGGCGTAGAGCTGCAATTTGGTTAGTGAATGATTCGCCTTTCCAGAATCCAGCTTGTTCCGGTGAGGGGTGGAGTTCTGCATCCAGTGCATGCTCTGTTCTCTGTAGACTGACGCGACTTAGGATTTCGCTTGGTGTGGACGAGGGCATGATTCCTAGCCAGTCCTTGAAGAGGCGTAAGTCGCCCTCCTCTGGTAGTTTGACAAGGCAGCCTTTCAGTTTGTGGGCACCTTCTCTTCCTTCCTTCCTTACAAACATTCTGCGATACTGGCGTCAGCACATTCACTGAAGTCTCTGGGTCCGTTTCCAGTGACTCCGAAGGAATTCTGTCCAGTAGTGCTGCCTTCCTGGCCGGACTTCAGTGGCTTGGTTGCATTTGTAAATTCCACTTTCGTTGGATATTTGGTGTCCACAGGTAGTTTCGTGCCTGCAGTTAGTGGTATTTATGGGTGGGTGGAAGGTGATGGTCGATTGAAGAGTTTTCTGAAGTGATCAGCCGATTGTTTCAAATGTCTCCCCTCCTTGTAATTGGGTTCTATTGACCGTCTTTTTCTCCTGTGTTAACCTCTTCCCTGGGAGAGACCTGATTATCTGATATAATGTTCTGAGGTCTCTTCTACCTGCGGCTTGCCTCTTCTGCCTCAGTTGCCAGCCAGTGTATCGTCTAACTGACTGTCTTCTTTCCTAGCACTCCCTTTCACTTCTTTATCCAGTCAGTCAAACATTAAACTCGGCTTAGTTCTCCATCAGTTATCCATCTTTGCATTAATTCATCTTCTCTTTCACCATCCTCCTCTCTTCTAATAGCTGCCAGGTATCCGTTGAGAGCCACTCCTTGTCTCGCCTCTTCTTCCTACCTAAAACGGTTGTACACGTCTCCTTGAACGTCTCCTCCAGAGAGTTAGTTCCAATGTTCTCGTACACAGGTTTCCTCAGTAGTGCCACGTAGTGTCCACGACTTCTCTCTGATGGCTACAGGGAAGGTGTCTATTGTGGATTCGTGCTTCAGTTTGTGGCTGTTGATCTTGAATTGTAGTCCATCTCCAGTTATCCTGAAGGATTTCAGCTTCACCTTCAAGGTCCTATGAACTAGATGATGGTTTGAGCCCACATCTACTCCCCTTCTCGACTTTGTGTCCAGCAGGCTGCGTCTCCACTTCCTTGAGCAGCATTGAAATGAAGTCTGTTTGGCTTTTGGTGTGTCCTTCAGGCGGAGTCTGTGTTGCTTTGTGCATATTCTTGTACTTGTACACGCTGCCTCTAATCACCAAATCATGAAGGCGCAGAAGTCTGTGAAGAGTCCTCCGTTCTCATTCATTTCTCCGAGCGAGAGCCTCTCGACCTATGATGAGTTCTCTTCCCGCATTGTCTGCTCCCAGTTTGGCATTCGTATTACTCATGAGGATTCTAATGTCACCATTTGGAATGTTGTCCATTATTGTTTGTAGTCGTCTATAGAATTCTTCCTTCTTCTCTTCTTCCGTGTTGTTTTCATCACTGTGCGTAGCATTGGATAATTGTAACCTTCCTTCCATCCATTTTGTGTTGAATATAACTACTATAATCCTGGAGTAGATCGGTTCTCAATACACTAGGGCTTTGGCTGCCACTGGTGACATCATGATAGACACTAACTGGTTCGGTGCGCTCGTGGTTCTGGTCTGGGTGATCAGAGCAGATTACTGACTCAGCAGCTAACAATTTGGGTAGTCTACATCCATTCTACCAGCTCTCACAGATTCCTAGAACTTTCATGCAGTATTTTGTTGTTTTTCTGGCTACTTGGGTTGCCTTTCTTGCTTTGTACATTGTACAAACATTCTACGTCACCATTCTTACTTATGCGTTCATCGATATATGCCACATCGGCTGAATGACTTTCAGTAGGCTTTCACCGGCCCATGTGATTTCGCCTTTCCGATTTCAGCGAAAAATATGTTTGTTTTATATATTCTTCGTATTTTTAATGTTTTCGTTGTGCGTTGAAGTTTCTGTAGCAGTTTAATTGGTTTTCTGTGGTAGAGTCACTAGCCCCACTCCTAACCTTCCCCATTTTCCCGGGTTTAGGATCGGCTAGAAAACTAGCGGGCCATTAAATAGGCGAGGTTGTGAAGAATGGTAATTTTCATTTAATATATATTTTTTCTAATCAATTAAATAGTATCGAGACAGTGTAACATTGGATGGTACTTACAAACAGTTGATCGATTATTTTAATATTAGCGTGTTTGCTTAACAGCTCCCGAATGGCGTAACTGAAGTGGTAAGCTATACTCGAAATTTCTTTTAGTGTATTTCGCGTTTACTCCATATTTATGGCTGAAATATTAATTTGAATAATTATATCACTATTTTGACGTCTGTTATGTTGATTACTATTCCATATCCGTTAATCAGGTGTAAAATGCGATGTTTGGGAACGGGATATGACATCACTAAGAGGTGGAGTTGGCATGCATATGGACGAAGTAGCAACTTTGGAATTCCCTATTCCCGATGGTTTTATTACAGCTTCTCCAGATGTTAATGTGGGAACAACATTAACCTTTTTGCAATCACCTATTCCAAATACATTTGTACGCATTGAATTCGAGACAGTATGCCGTTCAAGATGTCAGTTTTCGATGAAACAGGTAAGACATATTTTTAGATCATAGAAACGTGCAAAACATTAGAGATCTTTGTTTTATAAATTATTCGTTGACAGTTTGCCACTTAAGTCGGAATAAACTGTAAGTTTCAAGTTGGTTTTTATGTACTAGACATCATTATCTGCACCACTTAAAACGACACAGCATAGTTTGAATGAGCATGATAATAAATCAAACGGATTCAGTATGTAAGTCAGTCAAATTGAAGCGTAACCCCTTTTTTAAGTTATAACTTGTGAAATAAAGGACGTTAAAAATCCCCTCTGGTTAATGATCCATGGCATTCCATAGGCTTTTATAAACCCGACTAAGATTATAAAAATTTCGTATGCAATAAACAAACTCTTACTATCACTTACAAAGGTTATGTCTAAAACATGCATTCAACAGTCTCCTCTCGATATTGAAGATCAGCTTGCCAGAAAGGAATTTAGGGACCTACCCGTACTACTTAGAAGATAATGGAGATTGGACATACTCTGGAGAGACTGTAGAGTGACATCACACACCAGGACTTCAAGTAGAACCTGAATGGGAAACAACAAGTTGAGCGTGTCCTGTAGTGAACGTATGATGAGAAAATGGAATGGAAACGTGTCACCGAAGCCCTATATTCCTGTCACAATCCATAGGAATAATAATTATAATATGACATCACATTTTGGTGTGGTTGTGTTCTCTGAGCTGGATAGTTAATTTGCGCAAATAATTCGCAAATTAACTATCCAGCTCAGAGAACACAATCACAGTAAAATCATCCACCTGAGCTACAAATTTTCTCTGTTATATTCCATTATAGGAGAAATCTATTGAAACTATCGCATGTAATCATTGAAATTTTTATGAATAACTACAGTGCTAATCGATAAAATACAAGGCATCAAAATAAAGATAAAATATTATATATATTAGGAAAAATTTAGACAACCGTAGGAAGTGAATAGAGACAGTTTGTGCACATACTAAGTTCGTACAAACTGTCACCCTCATTGTTGGTTTTATACGTTAGCATTACAGTATTTATATAACACATTTGAAGATATGTGGCATGTCACACTCAAAAGCTCAAGTTTCCTATATTTCTGTACCATATTTAGTTAACTAGTAGGACGAAACCTTCTGAAATTTTTTCTGTATATTTCATTTAGATTTCATATATATATATATGTATATATGATGTACGGCATAAAATTGAGTTTTTAACTGGATGATTATGTGCTTTGATGTAACTTCCGATGGTCTAGTGAAGTTGTTCGTATTATGAAATCTGTTTCGTAGACCTCTGGGAAATGTACACAACGAGGAGTGTGTACAAGAGGAATAAAAACATTTACTGGGTACTTGCGATTCTTATTCAATGATTAGCCTTATCAGTCAAAATAGAGATGTTTTTCATATATTTCCACTAGCGGCTGTATAATTAAATTATTCTGACAACCAAAACCAGAATTACGTGTTTATAAAAAAAGTTAATCGAACACTTAATAATTGTGCTGTGGTGAAGTTATTTTAACTTTCAGTTACTTTTTGTGCATATCACTATCGTAGCCAATATTCGCAGAACACTTTGTAGAAATAAAGCTAATTTGTTATTCTTACTGTTTTGTATTTTATTCGCTGAGCTGTCGCTGGCAATTTAGACTGACTAACCGACCTTCAACATAGAACTTTGCTCAGATGTGCAGTAGTTCAATCTGCTGCACTACATGTAGCACGCAAAGGTAGACAAAAGAGAGAAAAAAGGTATTTAAAAGTAATCTAATCAGCAGAAGTGTACGGGAGAAAAAGCAGTAGCGTGAAAAAACCTGATGATTTCATGGATATGGAAGATTCCAAAGAGTGAATGCATATACACCACTCAGAAAGATTTTTAACCATATCACCAATTGACTCTAGCCGTCGGTTCTCAGTATCCCCAGGGTTTCAACCATGCAGCCTACATCTCCATACATAGCTCATATCAACTATCAAAGCATCATGGACTGATGACAATTTTTGGTTTGAGCGCCTCTAATTTTCTATCAACCTAATCCTATGTTGGTTAACACTGCTTGTCGAGAAACGTGATAGTTTGGCATGCACAACACGTGTCCTAGACATCTAAGTTGATTAACTAACCCCCTTACGTTGTCAGTCTACACATGACTATCAATGCACCTTCATTTTAATTTCATACTCACTGGTTCGTTAATTCAGGTTTCTTTTATTTCGTCCTTAGACATGGAATTACCAGAAAAATACAACTTATTCTTGTGACACTTTATTCATGTATTTATGCTTTTCTTATTGTCTTCCTTCTTCCTAAAAATATCCATGGTGGAACTTTCCAAATGCTTGTCGCATTCTTATCCTTGGCCTAAAAGGTTTGAATTTAAATGGTATTAATTTTTTTCATTCCTTTGTGTACCAAGTTGAGAATAGGGTTTCAAGTTCGACTCTTTAAAATTTCAGTAGCGGTGGTGTTAATTTATGAAGTGGGATTGCTAATATTACACCCAATCTTTCTTCTTTTCCAGGATTACTACCGGCTAGTAATCTAGGTGAGGTGTAGAAGTGCATCAGTTGAGAGTCGAACCCTGGACCACCTGAGTGGTTGGCGAGCATTCTACCAGTGAATCACCTCTTTATAATGTTCAAGAGTATAGTCACGTAACTGAAATCGCAACAGGAGTAGTGAACTTTCTTTTTATCCAAGTGTTAGTTTGTAGGGATTTGATTGGTTACAGGATTTTCATCATGAGCTGACATTAGTTAGAGAACCATTGGAAAACCTGGGAGTACTGCACAACTGTTTCGTCCTAGTTTGGGACTCTTCATCAGTATGCACCTACCGGGATTCGAATCCAGGACCTTCTGATTACAAGGCGAGCTCGTATACCATTAAGCCACTGGGACCCGATCCAATGGCCCATGAATTCTAACTTCTGCCAATTCACGGCATAGCGCGACCCCTAGCCAATGTCTTCGGCGAGTATTTGTCCTCACACCCGACCTGCTGCACCCTACTAGTCACGACTTCTCACTGGAACCCCAGGTAACTACCTACCTGAATAGGGCAAGTTGTGATCAACATATTTCATAACGATAATTTCAATACGATAATTTTGTCAATACTTTTGAAATATGACTAATAAAATAACTAACTTTGATTAAAATGTACTTTCTAATAAAAATACAATGTTACTTAACCTTTGAAGTACTCTTTCTACAGGCAGTTGTAAACTATTCAGAATGTGTGGGAAAATTATATGATATCATTCACTATTTTGGCAAATCTCACCAGCATGTCACTGAGGCTCAAAGAAGATTGACAGCATAGCAACTGTAAATGATAAACTGAAGTTACATCTTTTTCCATTTTAAACCACTGTTGGAAACATTAATTTAGTAAAAGGTTTTGTGATTTATTAATTTAATAAATAGATTAATCATTAATTAAGAACTGAAAGTTCCCTTGCTTCCTACACATGACATTACATAAATATCATATGAAATAAATTTATGTGAATGAGACTTTAGCAAATAATACGATGTTTAAATATTGTTTGCAAACATACATATTCTTTCATGTATTTACTACTTACTAAATTCTAGGCTTTTCTTGCTGGAAATGAACAAATTATTTCCACTTGGATTGGTACAACCGAAAGGAAGAATTTCACGTAAGCTCATCACAATCCATCAACAAAATTAATCTGTTAGCAATAAACCCAGGTCTATATGAAACTTTTTAACCAAAACACTATTCATGCAATAATTAATGTAATCTCATATTTTTACTAATTTATTATTCAGTCCATGATAACCGCTGAAATTACGCATAGACAGAATCTGATGCATAGAGTTTTTGATATTTCTAAGGTGAAAAATATACTGAAATGAAGAAAGCTTTAATCCAATCTAAATGAATTAAATTTTTGTAACAGCATTCTTTGTCAGTATTACTTTTTTGCGAAGACCATTATCTGAAAATGATATTCGATTTCTTAAAGATGATATTTTGTCTGTCTGTATTCAAGTTTTTCAACAATAACTTTTCGTGATCTAAACATTAAAATAGAATAAAAGTGGTCACACATGAATTGTAGGTAGTTCTGTGATGTTTTCATCTGGAAGACCAGGTAGGGCTTAATTTGGTTATCGAATTTCATCAAGAAAATGAGACAAATAAAGTTAAGACAAAGTCTGTTTTCTCTCCACTAAGTTGAGGTTTTTATAGAACAAGTTTGAACTGGACTGCAACATGCATTATGGTTTATCTAATGACAAGGTTATAATTTTCTCATGCAGATATTACTCTTATCCTCATGACAGTATGAGACTACATACATGTAACTGTGTGTTGGTTAGGTATTGAGAACAAGCCTACAGCTATTTAAAGTTGGCTTTGTTATTAAAGTAGAATGAAAAAAAAAAGAGGAAAATACACAGAAATCGTAAAATCGTGTTTCATTTTTCATCAGTTAGGAAGTACGATGTTTCCACTTACTCAGTATCCACATTTCTGTGAATTGTTGGGTTTAATTGTAATAATGAAGCTTAATTTCATACAATATATGGATATATATTATATAAATTTCCAGAGTATCTAGTTTCAAAATATTTTAAGTGACTAAAAATACCCATCAAAATTTTGAAAAGAATGGTTACTGAACAAAGAATATTCTTTACGATAACTTCATCATCAGGCTCTACAGTTATATATACCTCAAAGTGAATGAATGAATCAGTGTTATTAACAACATTAATGTTTAAATAACATCGAATCAACAATATCAATAGATTACAGTTCAATAGCATCAACATAACAATAAACTGAATTCAAGTGGACTTGCCCTATTCAGGTAGGTAGTTACCTGGGGTTCTAGTGAGAAGTCGTGACTAGTAGGGTGCAGCAGGTCGGGTGTGAGGACAAATACTCGCCGAAGACATTGGCTAGGGGTCGCGCTATGCCGTGAATTGGCAGAAGTTAGAATTCATGGGCCATTGGATCGGGTCCCAGTGGCTTAATGGTATACGAGCTCGCCTTGTAATCAGAAGGTCCTGGATTCGAATCCCGGTAGGTGCATACTGATGAAGAGTCCCAAACTAGGACGAAACAGTTGTGCAGTACTCCCAGGTTTTCCAATGGTTCTCTAACTAATGTCAGCTCATGATGAAATCCTGAAATAAACAGAATGTCAGAAAAATTAGGAAAGATAATAATACAAATTCATGAATTTATAGTCTCTACTGAAGGCCAGGACAGTAGTAGTGGCTGAACTTGCTTCTTTTGCACACAAAGCACTGGTTGTTTCACGCGAATCGCAATAGCCTCTGCTGTTTGGAGCATGCGGTACCTCGATATTTTTGGCAATTTATTTGGTACCCGGTAGATAATAGAAAAGGATTCTTCAATGCTGGCTTTGTGGCCGGTTTGGACCAGGTGGTCTAATATAGAACTGTTGATGGTTTTAGTACTTTTTTAGAGTCCTGGATAGAATAAAAGACGCACTGGATACAGAACTCCGACCAGAACAAGCTGGATTCAGGAAAGGCAAATCATGTTCTGACCAAATTGCAACTCTACGCATCATCATCGAACAAAGCATGGAATGGCAATCAAACCTCTACCTCAACTTTATAGACTTTGAGAAGGCCTTCGACAGCGTTGACCGCGAAGTAATTTGGAAACTACTCGAGTACTACGGCGTACCCCAAATATTCATCAACCTTATTCAACAGCTGTACGACAACAGCACATGTCAAGTGATCCACAACGGAGTAAACACAGGAGTCAGACAAGGATGCTTATTATCACCAATGATATTCTTTATTGTGGTGGACTGGATTATGCGTCAGACAGTGGGAAACGAGAAGACAGGGATATCCTGGACCGACGTGAAGAACCTAGAAAACCTGGATTTCGCGCGTGGATGATTTATGTTTGATGTCACACAAAATCGAAGACTTACAAGCGAAAACCGATAAACTGGTCGACGAAGCAGCAAAGACAGGACTCCAGGTGAACATAGACAAGACGGAGGTTATGAAAATAACCAACCAACAACAGCAGCAACATCCAGCGCCAATCACCATCAACGGGAGGGATTTGAAAGAGGTTACTTCCTTCACATATCTAGGGAGCATTGTCTCAACTACAGGAGGAACGGATGAGGATGTCAAATCGAGAATCGGGAAGGCGAGAAACACATTCATCAACCTGAAACCAATCTGGAAATATTCGTCACTCAGCATCAACAACAAAATTCGGATTTTCAATACAAACGTCAAGTCAGTCAGTTCTTCTATACGGATCAGAAACTTGGCGGGTCACAAAGAATATTTCCAACAGCCTGTTGCAGACCTTTGTCGACAACTGTCTTCGTTCTATACTGAAGATCAGATGGCCGGAAAGAATCACCAACAAGAAACTATGGGAACAAACAAAACAAGAACCAATCGCCCAACAAATATGCAGGAGAAATTGGAGATGGATTGGACACTCGCTGAGGAGGCCGTTGGGTGACATCGCGCGTCATGCCAGTGCTCGAGTGGAACCCGAGAGGGAAGCGGCGAGTGGGACGTTTAAGGGTGACATGGAGGAGATCGTGTGAACAGGAACTGAAACAGTATGGATTAACATGGATGCAAGTGAAAAATACAGCAGAAGACAGAAGCAAGTGGAGACGTGCAGTTGAAGCCCTATGTTCTACTAGGAACCCAAGGGAACAATAATATAATAATAATAAGAGGTTTTATCGCAGTAGATTGTTCTTTTAACAAAAATTACCATGGGATAATAGGCGCGACTGGAACCAATTCATTCGGTAGAGATATTTACAGAATATTCCAGGTGCTGTAACTGATAAATAAGATTTTCTTGTTGGATTTTGTATTTTGAATATGAGAATATTTGAAAACCCCAAGGGAGCGTATGATACACCGATTTTGTCATGACACTGACTAGAGACTTTTCTGTGGTTGATTAAGCAGCAGTTATTTGGATTGCAAAGAAAGAAGATCATGTACACTTGAATTGCTAATTACAGATCCAAGTCTTCACGAATCTACGATTGTAACCACTGATCACGTAGCACCTCTTTCACTTTTTCACTACCAATACTTTTTGAATATTTCTATTTGATCTATTCACCAAGTTTTGCTTGTTTTAGTTTTCGCGTACGAGAAGCTAGTGGAACTAAATTTATCTGGACTTTTGATAAACCTGGAGTGCCAGGCAGTTACAACTCTGCTTTACAAGATCATGTCAAGATTTATCAGATAGAAGCTACAAATGTCAAGAACAGTAATCCTATTGGTTGTCAAAAGTGTTTAAATGGAATTGAAGATGGGAGGTAATGAATATGTTAACTCTTTGTCGATTAATTTTCAATTCTGTTTTAAATGCGTACTGTGTAAAATATAGGGCTTTCAGTTTTGAATTTTCAGTAATAGTGGTATTGTTTTACTGAGTGACGTTGCTAGTCTCACTCACAGCTACACCCTTTCTTTGGGCTAAGGGAAGTTAAGCAGTGCATAGGCAGGGATTCGGACTGGACAATCGGTTAATGTATTACCAACGGAATTCGGAAAACTATTCTAGACATTCTGTTGTTTCCTTCGTTTGTGATATAATCACCTGGAACACTGAATCTAGAAAATCGGTATATTTACCAAGTAACTGAATAATTTTCAGACATATTTTTGGTTTTGATGAAGTAAACGATTTTAGTACATATTTGATCAAGCACCTTCAGAAACCTTCATTTTGTAGTCTTAGATTATTTTAAAGCATAAATGAAGTTGAAATATTCATACCAAATTCGATGGGTTGTAGATTTGGCATTGTATTTATTGGGTTATGGAACCGGTCTTTGAGTCACATATTGTGTGAATTTTTAAACCTGAGGAAAATTGTTACAATTTTCCAAGCAGCAATCAAATCTCGCGATTGATCACTAAAATTAAATACACGTGATTACATTTATGGACCACTCATTGATAGACTGAGTTTTCACTAATAATTAATGAATTAGGTACTCTACAGTTAGGGTATACGATTGTTTTTCCCCAGAATGAATACCAATGAGAAAAAAGATAATAGTTTTCTGAAGTCTTAACATGATTAAAGGTTCGATTTTATTCAAATTACTCTCATTTTTTGTGAATAAGATTTATTTTAGGCTAGATTTTATCACATACCGGTATTGGTTGGAAAACCATTGAAAACAGGGGTAGAGTGCAGCAACAGTTTTACCATAGTTGGCGGCTATTCAACAGTTTGCACTTACATCAACATCGGTAATTAAACCCAGGAGTGTTGACTTAGGAAGCAAGCATTCTACCGTAAATCCACATGGTTGAAATTCAATGATCAGTAGATTATAATCTTCTTATTTGCGATGTACAAGCTTCACAATCTATGTGATTAGCATTTTGTGGATAAATAAATAAATAATAGTTTAGAGTATTCGAATTTTTCCAGTTGATTTCGAGAACGAAATGTATTCGCTTTTTGCTCTGCTTCACTTTCTAAATGACATGTTGCTGAAAGTGGGATATTTTATGGGCCTGGTTTTTAAATGGTGAATTCTTAACGGCTTTGCATTCTAGGCAGATATCTGTAAGTAGTATTTCTACAAAAATCACTGGCTGTAATAGTCGACATGTTCTCAAACAAATTATCCCAGTGACTGAATGGTCTACGAGCTTCCCTTGTAACCGGAAGGTCCTGGGCTCGTAACCCAGTAGGTGAGTACTGACGATGAGTCTTATACTTGGATGAAATAGCTGTGCAGTACTCCCTAGGTTTCAGTGGTTCTCTAACTGCTATCAATCTGTGGTCTAACTGGGAAAACAAATCAACTCTTGAAAACAATAAATGAGTAACCCTGATAGTAAAAAATAATTGGTTCTGGTGACTATTGTAAAAAGTAGTAATAAGAATATTCTCTTTATATTAATTTTAAATCTAAATACTAAAACAAAGACATATAGGTGAACAACATCGTTTTCAGTTAGACCTTCTTCAGGCATTATTCTAGTTTACATAACTTTATATATAGAAATTTTGCCAGTGACGGTGAGTTTGTGGATCGGTAATAATAATATCGTGTTAAATGTTTTGAATGTCATTAATAATCATGATTATAATGATAGCAAAAATAATGATAATAAGGCTTATCTTAACAAAAGTACAGGGAGTTTGTGCAGGTGGTGATAAGAACAACGAATATACTATGTATATGTAGACAGTTCAATAGATAAATTAGGTCAAATCTTAAAAGTTACGTAATACTAAAGGTAAAGTGGACAGATTTTAAATAAACATCATAAAAGGACTAAAGAAATGGAGAATTAGAAAGGGTAGAGAGTTTTTAATTAGAATTCTCCTAGGCCAAGGGAGAGACAAAGATAGAACAAACTTCTTTTGTATGCAGAGACTGGGATCGTCCTCTCGAATTTCCATAGCTTCGGCTAGGTGTAAACGGCAGGTTCAAATTCAGTTCGAAAAGTCCGATGGAATGAGACAGATAACATTGAAGGCAATTCTGTTGTCCTTCTGGCGAACATTATCAATCAGATGAGACAAAATTGAACTCCTTATAGATTTTATTTGGCCTTTTCCGAACCATGGGGGAAGACGCTCAGTAACACGTTTGTTGAGCTGTCCAGTCTTTCGCGCAGTATAGCTTACTCCGCAGGAACACTTAAATTTATAAATGAACACAGATGTGTCACAGCTAAGTATCTTATCTTTCGCTTGTGCAACCATAACTGGTAGATTGGAAAATGACAAAAAAAAGGGTGTTGGTAGTGTGAGTTCATTGGATGGCTCTAGATAATCTTACATTTAAGACTTCACTAGCAACGTCCCAAATGAATTACACTTTCAGGAACAATTGTTTCATTTTAACTGCAGTTGGCTTCTCTTTATTATTATTTTTGATTCACAGACTCACCATTATTGTTTGTATTTTTTATATAAAAAGCTATGTAAATTAGAGTAGAGCCTGAGGAAGATTTAACTGAAAACAATATTGTTCGCTTATATGTTTTGTTCTAATTCCAACAGTGGGAATATTTAGAGATTTGAAATCCTGATACAATCAGCACTCAATGTATTGAATACATGTCTGCTGGACACATATGATTTCTGTAGCAGAACAGGCTTTTATTGAATTCAACAACAGATATTATTAGGCTACGTTCAGTAACTACTTAAAAATCTATCAGTCACCCACATTATTCGTGTATGTCGGTGGTTCACTATTAGAATGCTTGCCAATCACTCGGGTGGTTTAGGGTTCAGTTTTCGGTTTACGTATTACTAAACCTCGTCTAGCCAGTAGTAAGCCCGGTATAGAGGAAACGTTAGGAGTGAGGCTAGCAACTCCACCGAGTAAAAACAGTGCGGAACACAAAAGGTATGGAGATGTACTATTCTTCAATGAACTTTGCCGCAGATACTGAGCTACATTTAGTGTATTTATGGAAAGTTTTGTGCATACTCGGTCAACATTCCTCGGACAGTAAGTGTTATCACTTCATTTGTCAATTAGTCATATACGTGTAATTTACCTGGCATAAATATCTAAATTAACATAATCCTCACTAGAGTCCGTTTATGTGACATTTTACTAGGATGACTTGAAGAGGCGTATCAAACTTAAGTAGAAAGTGAATTGAAAATTCATTTTGAAATAGTATTTGGTCATTCTTGTATGAACTTTTTGTATCGCTTATACTATCATTGACTTATATTATGAGAATATATACTTTATTTTCCTCTACTCAACATTAAACTTAATCCATATACATCCAAATGGTATGTTTGTGCTTTTAAAACACTTAAAACCCTCAAACAACAAGTCACAACCTATATGGAATTTTGACTGGGATAGTTTCCTTGTCACTTAGTGCTTGAGAATATTTTGCAACTAAGATTGATTAATACACGAGAACTCCTGGCGAAATCAGATACATTAGTAATTACGTAGTTCAACATACTACCCAGTGAGGAAGTACTATTTGCTTAAGAATGAAATCGGTAATGGTTTGTAATCATATAGAGTGTGACCCTGTAATTTGATGATCTAATTTTGTAGCGACAATAATTTTCCTTTTCTTGTTGAGGTGATGGAATCTCCTAGATGTTTAGGATAATTATAAATCTCTTCTAAGTTCTTAATCAATTCATCAAACACTCATTTAGTCGTAAATGTCTCCCAATACCTTACTGAATTAGTTTTTAGAACTACCTAGTACGGTTTACTCATGCTTCCTGATATATGGATGTCGTTTTATGAACAATCAACTTCGAAAACAATACCTCCTAAAAGGGCGTTTATTCATATTTAATAATCTCACTAAGTTGTTTCTATTAATTTTTCAATGGGTGTGAGCATTCATCGATTTGTCGTCTAATGTTTATCTAAATAGAGAAGCCTACTAGATTTTTTTTTTAAAATCCGACCAATGAAAATACTTTTCTTGTAATGCATGTCTACCATGGTTGCCGCTTCAGTTCTATTGTTAGTTTCATGAATTAACTTTCTTCTTTTAAAATTCATTTAAGTGAAATGGCAGAGGTATTTGTACAAGAGTATTCAATGCTAATTATGGATGCCTTTTTGCTTATACACAAAATGACTTTCAAGCCATGTAAAAAGACATTCTGCTTTTAATTTCATATCTGTGACTGTATAAGTCATATCTTTAAAATATTACTTTTGTATTCACGAATTACCATTACCACTATTTGTTTTCACTAGTCACGTATAAGGCCGTCAGACATTACTTTCCGTATGATATACCAATGAAGTTACCACCAGTTTCCGGTATCACACATCACAATAATGTGCTAATTGTTACTGATGCCTTCTGAAGTATATTTATAAATAAAGCCATCCTTATCAAACTGCGTATGTATTTGGAAGACTATAGGAAGTAAGGTGCCGTTTGTTAGGGATTATTTTGCATTTCAGAGCTTTCTTCAGCATCTTGAAAAGTCTAGACAGATGTTTGAGTTACTGACCATGCATTTGGTGGAAATGCATCGAATCTGTGAAACTTAACAGACTGATTTTATTAGTAAAGTGATGAACATACTACTTTTTACCAGAAATTATACTCATGTTGGTGAATTAGGAGAGGTAACTGTCTAGCCAGATAATTTTCAGTAAATGGCTGGATAATGAAGGAGCTTAAGCTTTCGAAGCTATGTGTACTTGGTTCGAGCCACAATAGGAACAACGCCACTCACTAGGTAGCAAGTATCTCCAGCTAACGTGTCCCACATAGGATAAGGCAAACATCCTGAATTCTGCTGTTAGCCACCACCAAATAATTAAGTTCGGGTTCTTAGCCCTGGTAAGACACAGACATCCACCCAAGAAGTTCATATGTCTGGATGAAGTTCATCAATACGGTTACAAACATGAACAAATAGTTACCCGTAATTATTATTCTTAATTCTTTTTCTTTTCCACAAAAATTATTGAAATAAAAATATATATCGATTCTGTTCATTATTTCTCTGAATTCCAAATCAAATCATCGCGTTCACTGAAAAAAAGGGGCTCCCAATACTTCCTAAGATATAAATAGCTGAATTTCTATTTGGTTATCATTACTAACTCACCTTTTGATAAAAGTTGTAGTATTTGAGAATAAATAATTTCTTATTTAGGATATTGTGAGTCAGACGTTTGTCACTATTTTAAACACAAAGCAACTCTGAATAAATGCCACCGATCAGATCCTTGATTTTTATTGCACATGAATAATTTTCGCCTTTAGAATTGAAGGCTGATCTCAGAGATTCAACTTGTGATGTGATCACCATTTGTCTATCGTTATATTATTTACACCTATTATTTGTTTTGTTTTTCCACCGACACTGACTGTAGTGATGTGAAAATCACTCCTGTCTTATTAGCTTTTTGAATATTCTAGACCCTTTTATCATTTTTTATAAGATTTACAAGTAACATAAAATACACGTATGCTTAGTATGATGTTTATGATTTTCATTAAAAAGTGTTTCATCCCCCTTAGTATATTTAGACTTAAGAAGTGTTTGTGTACTTTGATTCATAAACAAATTAATTTACACTTACTATAACGTAATATATTGAGTCAGATTATTTTACTTTCATTTCTTTCAATCTATGGGTGATTTAGATTTATACTGATGAAAGGTGTTTGAAAAATGCGTGTTAGAGCTTTTTAGTACAATTTAAATAGTTTTTTATTCTTATATTATAAGTAAATCATGCTACGTGTAGTCTGTAGTTTGACGTTTGAAAGTGATGCTAACGTAATGAAAGATGTTGGCAGTAATATATCATATGCACTACAGACAAATATTTATTCTTATCACTGTTTTAGTTTTTAGATGTATGTAAAAGTGTAAAAGACATTTAAGAAATAGTAAGTACTCTATAAAGGACTAAAATTTTAATATTGTATTCTTTCTACCTTCTTGATTAAGGATTAAAGTGAGACTGTTGTGAGACGAACGGTCATAGACATTTTGAAAGCAATGTATTCCAAATTGTGTGTGCAGGAAATGGCACTTATTTAGCCGTCATATGCCAGTGAATGACACTGAATGATTCTGTGTTACAACAGTAGATACTTAATGTAAAGCTGGCCTAAATTATTTGCCTGACACTTTTCATAGTTACATCTTGGTACTATCTTGACTTTCATGAGGTGAAACAACAAGAAGACGTTATTTATCTGAAACGTTGAATGTATTTTTTCTTATCTCACTTTCTTACTTATTATCTGTGATTGTGATGCGCAAACACTTTGATCTGGTTTGTTAAAGTTTTGATCCTTCATACTCTGTTACCCCCTATATATATATATATATATATATATATATGGCAATCACATGCGTGTTACCAGAATTCCCGAAATGTGTTGCATAAATACACTGCACGTTTCTGATAAATTATGCCTTCTTACTGCTTTGTCAAAATTCATAAGGGGAACTAAATGCTTTATATTTTATGAGGTGATAATATCATCTAAAACATGTATTTTTTATTATGTTTATATGGTTACTTCAAACAGTTTGCTGACTAGACTGATCTTGGAAACCATTATTTTTGTGATTATTATATGAAAAGCAATGAGTTCGAGTCTAAAAAAATTAGGCACTTTCCCAGCCATTTAGAATCATTCAATCGGACAAAATTAGGATGACCGGCTGATAAGTTTTTATCAAGCTAGTTATAAAAATGACCTGTTTTAAGCGTAAGGCATACTGCTTCCACAAATTCCAAACGATAGCATTTATAGTAAGTAAAAATTCAATATGACAATAAGTAGTTCTGTGAGCAAATTAAGCAGTACATTTCTAAACTAATCACTTACTATTTTAGCCATTTTACGATCCGTAGATTTCTTGCCACAAAGTTATCTTCTTTAAGTAAGAAATCCCCTTTCCTGATTTTAAAGTTGACTCTTTAACTGTTTACAAATTGAAAATGCAGTCTGCTTAAAAGTTTTGCATTGGCTCACATTTTGACCGAAAGCTGAGCCAGATGCTTTTAGCTGTCTCAAGATAATTATGCACTAAGATCTTCAGAAATTCTTTTGGAAATTATTAGCTTCGTTTGAATGGTTTACAATAAAATGATTATTTGAACTTTCAGTGCAACCGTTTTTTCACTGGACAGATAGTTTTAATGGAAAACACTAGTCTCTGTCCTTTTTTTATCCATAATGTGATGTGATATTATAGAGTGAACGAGTTTATATGGACACAAACTGTGTTGTTACAAAAATTGTGGACAAATTAGAATTAATAACTCAAGTCATATTAAAAACCATCTGTCAGCAATCGAAACCTTTGCGGGTTAATTTCTTTCTACTTTGTGTTTGAAGGTTAATGAAAATAAGTTCATTTTCAGAAGTGTTGCGATCAGCTAATTTATTTTTAGATTGCCAAAGTATCTGTAAGTTTCTCACGTAGCACTATTTACTCAATCTATATCTTGAAATTAGGAGGTAAGCTGAATCACTGTTGTTGATTAATCACTGAATCATAATTGACCTCACATTTTTTTGGCTATTTTTCTATTTAGATGTAAACGTTGTCCACCTGGTCTCTACTATACACTTCAATTTGATGAAATTAAAAAGTTAAATGTTATTAATTGTACAAAGTGTCCAGATAATTCAGTTGTAGTTGCTGATGCATCTAACTTACATACAGTAGATGAAGCCTGTCGTCGTTGTGAATCTGGTACTATCGCAACAAATGATAGTATCTGTATGACTGATACACGACCAACTACACCATCTGGATTTCAGTATGACCTAAGTGATGTGATTGATAAGTGAGTTGATTACATTTAACGAATATTTTGCCTGCCCACCTGTTATTAACGTGTATCCGTACTTAACCGAAGTTATTCTGAAATGATTTCACTATTTTTAAATAATGTTAGCTATTTCGTATTGGAAATACTTGATTTTATATTGCATGTCGCTTGTTCATTCCATTACGCGTTCCCTCTAAGGCAGCTTCTCTATTTAAACATAAATTCTGATTTCTTTTCCCGAAGAAGCTGCAATATATACTGTTAATATTTACTTTTATAAGGAGTATGTTCCATAGTATATCCACACTGATAAGACTTCTGGATGCTGAATCATGTAGTTTGGGTTCGAATCTTTCTCATGGCTATAAGTTTCATTAGCTGAAATACACCGAAGATAAATGCAGTGATTGCTGCCAAATGGTTTCTAGAAACGTACAATAAAGAGCATTGGAACTTCTACCAAAACATTCGTTAATGTTCATAGACTGGAAATTAGTTTCCCCTTTCTAGCACACTGATAAATGAATATATTGCGTCTTAAAAACACAAACTTATTCACTTTTAAACAACTATCAGAATTCTTAACTAGCGAAGTGGCAATGCTGGCTTAAAGAAACGCCTCTCGTACTAGCATGTTTTATGATCATTTTCTCCAGCTTATAAAAGTGTACGTTCGAAATGACCAGTTGGGCAGAAACTTGTTTACGAATAAAAAGGTATTAGCTGTCCATTTTCATGAGCGTAACCGTCTGCTGAATTATCAGAATCATTCAAAGAGTTTTTAGCTTATGAGTAAATGTAAATCTCATTGTATCATTTGGACTTACCCCAGGTGTAACACATATCTGCTTTTACTGTTGAACAGACCACTTAAAATATGAAAGCACTTTAATGTTGCGTGTTCCCTGCTTAAATTTGTGATAAGTGAGTTGTATTTCAGTCATATTTTGGTTGAAAACTCTAATAACAAGGGACCCTAGAGAAGCAGATACAAGAAGACATAGTTGTTAACCGATATTTCTCTGATGACGGCTAATAAAGTCTTAGTAAATACATGAGAACTGGCAATCCTGTTTTACCTGTTTCATGTGATTGTTTCAGGGTTCATACTGTATCCAGCCCAAAAATGTTCACTCCGTCCGGAACAGCCTACAGTCACGAGTTTCGCATTAACATGGCGTATGGTAAAACTGTTCAGTGTGTGGAGAATTCTTCTATTTTAGTGAGTACTTTTAGTTGTTTCTTTACAGTTTTGCATATTCTTACCGCCTTAGGACTTCAGCTATTTCTGTGTACTAAATGTTCACTGTCGCCTGTATATGCGCTCTCTGCAAATATGAATTTTAGGAGTAAACAGTTCTAAACGTTTACCGATAATTCAAGCAGTTAGTGTTGATGTTTAGATATTTTATGTGTCAAGTGTGGAGTATATTAACCCTCGATAACAATAAGTACTGGACGTACAGTCACAAACTGAACACTAAGCTAAACATTTACTCAGTAGTTGGGAGTAAATCATGTAGAAGGCATGAAGTTCTCAAATTCTGTATTGAATAGCTGAGTTTCCAAAATAATGGATTGTTATCTAAACAATCATAATACATCAAATCTCAAAGTCACATTTTTGACTTGAACGCGAAGGTGACTCAACGAAAAGAAATAAAATAATCATTTATTTTACTTGGAAAAAGGTATTCCATGCTGTCGATTTTAGATTGGAGTTATATTTACAGTTATAACCGTTGGTCTCTACGATGTTTTTACTTTAGCTGAGTTATTTATTGCACTAGTTGGGAATAACGAGGGAGAAAAATAGTTGATTGTTTCCAACCGTTTCAGAGTTTTCATAAAATAAAAACTTGACAGTGTTGACTGCTAAGTCAAAAGAATTATGAATAAGGATTTATCGGTGTGTATTACTTAATCAGAAGGAAATCGAAAAGTACCACAGTCTTGAGTGGTGCTTTTCACTCTTATTTATCATAAAGATCACTGTTTCTTCGAATGAAATCATTTTTTTATCAGTAACTGATATGACTTAGAGAACGATTGAAAACCAGGAAGTGCTTAACAGCTGTTTCATCCTATCCTGGTATATTTCGCCATACGCTCCTATGACCCCACCGGCGATTGAATCCAGGACCTTCAGGTTACAGGGCGATCTCGTTGATCATTTATCCACTGGAACGGATTCATCGGCCCATGAATTCTATCAGTAACCAGTTTCTAGCGCCACCTGCAGCTAATACTGTTGGCAAGTATTTGTCTTCATACTCCATAAGTCCACTGGACTTCTGACTAGAAAACTTGAAAATTATTCGTATTATGATTACAGATTAAGTGCAACTAATTCGAGCAAACAACATATTTTAGTTGAGGATTTAATGCCTAAACAGTAGAAGTGGTCATGTAATTCTGTTTCATAAAAATGATGTAACAATCAAAATATCCTTTTAGACGAATCCTTCTCAGAAGCTATACAGTCGTGTCTACAATCAACAGAGTATTCGTAAAACTATTCAAATACAATAAACTATTTAAGAACTATTATTTTAATGTTTGGCTTAATGTGAGGTAAAATGAAGAGATTAAAAATCCAGAAGCGGTTGTGTCGTAATATTTGTGAAAAATGACCTAATAAATCTAAATGGACAGAAACCAGGGAATATACAGAAGAGTGCTTATACAAAAACTTTATTAGAAATGTATTACTGTTAATAATAATAGCAGTATTCTGGAAATTATTATTTATAAAATGATATCACTCTATTTCACAGGTTCTCATCATCTGCAGACTACCTGAAATTACAATGGTTATATAAATGATACAAACATACTTTAATGTTTGAGTAGTAGTAGTAGAGAAGAGATAAAATTGACGCATCCAAAAAAGAATGAAGGCATTACAATTTTTAGTTTAAGTTATCATCATCAATTTATACTCTTTCAAAGTTGGAAAGAGGGGAGAGGGGTAAGACAGAAAAGAGAAAAATTGATTAACAGAAACAGTGTTAGCTTGTAGGTTCACATAGCAACTCCAGAAAACAAAGGCGGTTACAGTTTGTGAGATTAAGATTTGTTCAGTGAGTTGAGATCACTGAATTAGATGACTAATTATTGTAATCAAAATCAAAATTCATTTACCAAGGGAGAGAGAGGTTAATCACACTCTCTTTCTGTATGCATAAGTCTGGTTTAAATCGTTTGATTGCGATCGCTTCGGCAAATCGTAGTAAATTTGCTGTCCTTTGTCTATTTAATATTTTGAAGGACTTAGAAATCTCTACGAGATGTCCGGTATCAACAATATGTCTGGTAATTGCACTCTGAGAATATTTGCTTCCTTTCAGGCATAGGTTTCCTGGAATATGTTCAGAAAACCGGATAGAAGCCCTTCTTTCTGTCCTTCCAATGTACTTGCTCCCGCAAGTGCACGTAAATTCATAAACGCAGTTGGAGGTGACATCAGCAGGGTATTTATCCAGTTTTGAGTGGATTATAGAAGGAGTGGTGTTGTATACTGTTATGAGTTTTGCTGCCGGGAAGCTTCTATTTATTGCTCCTTTCAGTCTTCTGTCAGTCTTTTGTGACACTGCATCTCCTTTGAATGGGAGACAAATAAACACTTTTTTCTTTTCTACAATTGGATGCTTTCCCTTCTTATCTTTTTCTCTGCTATACTTCTGTATAAATCCCTTAGGGTATCCATTTTCCCTCAGGCATTTCTCGACGAAATCTAGTTCTTCTTCGACCTTGTTTGGTGAACATAGCTTCCTGGCTCTGTCGTACAAAGTCCTCACTAATCCACGTTTATAGCTTATGGGACAAAAGCTGTTATAGTGAAGATATTGTCCATTCCAGGTTTCTTTTCTATAGATGGACTTTTCGGTCATGCCTTCGTTTGTTCTTTTTACATTTAGATCCAGGAAATTGAACTCATTTTTATGTTCATATTCCATGGTGAACTTGATATTTGGATGGATCTCATTTAGGCCATCATATAATGCTGATGCGTGATCCATGTCATTGCAAACAACAAATGTGTCATCATCAACCTCTAATGAAGAAACTAATCAACAGCGAAACATACAATAAACTGAAGTCAAAAGGTGGACGCCTGCCGTCTATGTACGGCCTACCAAAAATCCATAAAGGAAATGTGCCTTTAAGACCAATCTTTTCAATGATTGACTCACCATGCCACAAGTTAGCTCGATGGTTAGGTGATTCCATAGAGCCAATTCGAATTAAATTTGCAGCCCATAGCCTGAAGGATAGCTACCGATTTTCCAAGGAAGTTGACAATACTGACATATCAGACAAACTCATGGTATCGTATGACGTGACCTCCTTGTTCACAAACGTACCACTGATGGAAACGATTGATATCAATTGTAAACAAACGGATCTACTACCATTACCGGAAACAGAAATGAAGCGACTACTGCTGCTCTGCACAAGAGACATACAATTCAAATTCAACAAACAACTCTACCGACAAATTGATGGGGTCGCGATGGGTTCACCTCTAGGACCTATCCTGGCTGACATTTTCATGAGCTACCTTGAACAGACACAACTAAGTTCTGTTATCAACCTACTATCGCGGATATGTTGATGACACATTTGTTGTTTGCAATGACATGGATCACGCATCAGCATTATATGATGGCCTAAATGAGATCCATCCAAATATCAAGTTCACCATGGAATATGAACATAAAAATGAGTTCAATTTCCTGGATCTAAATGTAAAAAGAACAAACGAAGGCATGACCGAAAAGTCCATCTATAGAAAAGAAACCTGGAATGGACAATATCTTCACTATAACAGCTTTTGTCCCATAAGCTATAAACGTGGATTAGTGAGGACTTTGTACGACAGAGCCAGGAAGCTATGTTCACCAAACAAGGTCGAAGAAGAACTAGATTTCGTCGAGAAATGCCTGAGGGAAAATGGATACCCTAAGGGATTTATACAGAAGTATAGCAGAGAAAAAGATAAGAAGGAAAAGCATCCAACTGTAGAAAAGAAAAAAGTGTTTATTTGTCTCCCATTCAAAGGAGATGCAGTGTCACAAAAGATTGACAGAAGACTGAAAGGAGCAATAAATAGAAGCTTCCCGGCAGCAAAACTCATAACAGTATACAACACCACTCCTTCTATAATCCACTCAAAACTGGATAAATACCCTGCTGATGTCACCTCCAACTGCGTTTATGAATTTACGTGCACTTGCGGGAGCAAGTACATTGGAAGGACAGAAAGAAGGGCTTCTATCCGGTTTTCTGAACATATTCCAGGAAACCTATGCCTGAAAGGAAGCAAATATTCTCAGAGTGCAATTACCAGACATATTGTTGATACCGGACATCTCGTAGAGATTTCTAAGTCCTTCAAAATATTAAATAGACAAAGGACAGCAAATTTACTACGATTTGCCGAAGCGATCGCAATCAAACGATTTAAACCAGACTTATGCATACAGAAAGAGAGTGTGATTAACCTCTCTCTCCCTTGGTAAATGAATTTTGATTTTGATTACAATAATTAGTCATCTAATTCAGTGATCTCAACTCACTGAACAAATCTTAATCTCACAAACTGTAACCGCCTTTGTTTTCTGGAGTTGCTATGTGAACCTACAAGCTAACACTGTTTCTGTTAATCAATTTTTCTCTTTTCTGTCTTACCCCTCTCCCCTCTTTCCAACTTTGAAAGAGTATAAATTGATGATGATAACTTAAACTAAAAATTGTAATGCTTTCATTCTTTTTTGGATGCGTCAATTTTATCTCTTCTCTACTACTACTACTCAAACATTAAAGTATGTTTGTATCATTTATATAACCATTGTAATTTCAGGTAGTCTGCAGATGATGAGAACCTGTGAAATAGAGTGATATCATTTAATATTGCAAATTTCTTCTTCCTTTCTTTATCGAAATTTATCAAGGGAAATAGTTGTATGAATAGCAGTTTCATTTTTCTGGATGGTTATTCAGATAGCCTAGTGGTTTAGGCATGCCGCCGGTTATAACTATATTAATAAATTAAAAATGATTACAAACATCCTTAAGTAGGACACCAGACGGTGATGTGTAACGGCAGAAATGTCAATCTATTCATGGCAAAGTAAGTGAGTATATGGACTGCTTTTGAATACAGAGGTGCAGTCTCAGGTCTCTAATGGCCAGTGATTCGATCATGTAGCCTATTCC